TACTTAATAACAGTACTGAAAATTCAAATAATTCTGGGTATAACGTAACTGAGGGAAAATTGCACTCTAACATTGCTTATCTACTAAGAAAATCAAAACTGTTTCTTATTTGGATGTGTGCATCTCACAAATCATAATCCAACGTAGTTGTATTTTTAATAATTTAGTTTAAATACCTTTAGTAATTGACCATGAACTTTAAGAAGAATGAACTAATTTGTCTTGGAAGGATCCAGAAAAACTCCTTAGAAGCAAGGATGGAAAGACCTTGTCTCATTTATTTTGAACATGTTATCTGAAGGAACCAGTCTCTGGAGAAACACGTCATGCTTAGTAAAGAAGAGGATCAGTGAAAAAGAGGAAGCCAGTTCAATAAGATGGATTGACAAAGTGCCTGAAACAACGGACTCAAGCAGAGCAACAACTGTGAGGGCATTAGTGCAGGACTGTGTTTTGCTGTGCATGTTATACATAGAGCTCAGTGAGTTGGAACAGACTCTTTGATGCCTATCTACAACATTTTCATTATGGTAGAATAAGGAGAAGGGACTATTATGACAGTTCCGTACTATCTTACAGCATCATACTAGCATACTTCCTAAGTATACTAAGGCCCCCAAATCAGGTCAAGATAAAACCCAGTCCTACCTATGCCACTTTCTTACAGTCTGGATGAAGCACACTGTAGTATTCTTAAAGAATGCCTTTCATGATATTATTTCTCTGCTACGTACATGCTCTTAAGGAGTTCTTGTAGTGTAGTAGATTATAAATTGGGCTAATAACTGCAAAGTCAACAGTTTGAAACTACTATCTGTTTCATGGGAGAAAGATGAGGCTTTCTGATGCTGTAAAGATTTACAGCCTCAGAAACTTTTGAGTGTGGGTTTTGGAGCAATTTTGATCCCTTTGAATGTTCCTTTCCTTTACTACTCATAAGGATTTATGTTTGCTCCATCTCTAATTTATGAAGTTATGAAAATATAATCTAAATATAGAATATTGTACACTGAAAACAAATGTATATTATATAGTGGAAATTACATTCATTCATTTGTGCATAAACATGGGATACATTTTATATATAAAAATAACATAAATATAAGTTCTGGGTGATTAAACTATGGCAAAGATTGCATTAGCTAAAACAGTTAAGCATAGTAACAATGAGACAGTGTCCATAGAAATAAAAACTTACATATAATATTCAGTAAGGGCCACACTTTAAGGAGCTCTGGTAGCGTAGTGGTAATGAGTCGGGCTGCCAACCTCAAGGTCAGCAGTTTGAAACTACCAGCTGCTCTGCAGGAGAAAGATGAGGC